GCCTTTTGAAAAAACGTTTTTGAGACTTAATTACAGCGCTACCATATGGCCCATTGCGCTCATACTTCTTGGGTCAGTAGTGCACATCATTTCCAGTTATTTGGCCAAGTTTCGTGTTTCTCGCTCATTCCAGCTCATGGCAATTTGAGCCGCGGCAGAACACAAATAATGATAATAATAAACGTGAGCAAAAACAAAAGGGTTCAACCCCTTTGGGGTTAGAACCCTAACTATAGCCGCAAGCGGCAATTCGCGGATTCTAACCATTTTGCGCTCAACTGAGAGAAGCAGACAATTACAGTTAATTAATGCTTTGGTTGACCTATTCGATATAAAAACCTGAAGATATCTACCAAGTTTTATGATGATCGGACAAATGGTAAATGAGTTATGGCCAATATTAGCTAAGCCCCACCCTTCGCAAAGACATTTCCATTGATGGTGGCTGTTTTTCGACCGATCACGCTCATGTGTAATAGAAATGTGCCTTTCATTCACCCAAGGCTGTATTCCAAATGGGATATTGATAAAGTAAAAATTCAAAAGGTTCTATTTATTTTACTCTTTTAAATGTTATGCTACTTAACTCAAAATCCATAATGGTAGTCGCTAAATCCATAATAGTAGTCGCTATTATTGCAGAGGATTTTGAATCAGCTGGAGGCTTTTTACTGAGTTATTGGGGCGTCCTTATTATAAAGAATTATAGTAGTGCAGTCAAGAGGTAACAAATGCATGGACTACTTTTTCACAATCCTTTAGAGACAGGTAGTGTGTCTGACACGCCTGAGGTTTGACTACCTGGTTAGTGTCACCTGGCTTTATAGATAAGCACAGCTGGGTGTCGTCTGCGTAACAATGGAAATTGATCTGGTGCTTCCTGATAATATTTCCTAAAGGAAGCATATATAGGGTGAAAAATATCAGTCCAAATACAGAACTCTATGGAACTCCATTACTAACTCTGTGCATAGAAGAGTTGTTATGGACAGTTATTATTATTAACATATAATAATTATTATTATTAACATGAACAAACTGGAATCTATCTGATAAGTCTGACTCAAACTAGCCTAGTGCAGTTCTTTTATAGTGTCAATGACATGTTCTCATCTCTGCAAAAAGATCCTGTGATCAAGGGTGTCCGTGCAGATCCAGTAGGACCAGTATATAGACCAGTCAATTGTCTGAGGCCAGGAGATCACTGGGAGGGAAGGAGAGAGAGGGGTGGGGAGGAGAGAGAGATGGGGAGAGACAGAAAGAAAGATGATGGAGGAGAAAGTGAGGTGGTGGAGGAGAGAAAGAGAGAGAGCTGGGGATTAGAGAGAGAGGTGGGGAGGAGAGAGATGGGAAAGAGAGAGAGATGGAGGAGGACAGAGAGAGATGGATGAGGAGAGAGAAAGAGGGGTGGGGAGGAGAGAGATGGGGGATGAGAGAGAGAGATAGGGAAGAGAGAGTGATGGGGAGGAGAGAAAGAGAGGTGGGGGGTGAGAGAGAGAGATGGGGAGGAGAGAGAGACAGGATGAGAAAGAAAGATGGAAGAGAGAGAGGTGGGGAGGAGAGAGAGAGATGGGGATGAGAGAGAGAGAGGTGGGGGAGGGGAGAGAGAGAGAGATTGGGATGACAGAGAGAGGTGGGGATGAGAGAGATGGGGGCAAAAGAGAGAGATGGGAGCAGAGGGAGGTGGGGGACGAGAGAGAGAGGTGGTGGGAGAGAGAGATGGGGGATGAGAGAGAGGGAGATGGGGGATGAGAGAGAGGGATGGGGGATGAGAGAGGGTGATGGCGGAGGAGAAAGAGGGAGATGGGGGAGGTTGTAATGGTATTTGGTGGTGCCGGTGGTGTTTCTGTTTTCTGTTTCTGTTTTGGTTGCTAGGGCAACAGCAGTTAAGTTCTGTGTCTCATGTCACTGAAGTACTGAAGTAAACAATAAACTACAGATCTCACTCCTTAATGCCTGTGAAGCTCTTTGAATTGCACTGACCTACAGCGGGAAAAATAAGTATTGAACTCGTCAACATTTTTCTCAGTAAATATATTTCTGATGGGGCTATTGACATGAAATTGTCACCAGATGTCGGTAACAACCAAAGTAATCCACACATACAAGGAAATCAAAACATATATGTCCATAAATTAAGTTATGTGTAATAAAGTAAAATGACACAGGGAATAAGTATTGAACACATGAAGAAAAGGAGGTGCAAAAAGGTATGGAAAGCCAAGAAACCAGCTGAAATCTGTTAGTATTTAGAAAGCAATCCTGCCCCCTATCAGTGCAAATTAATACCAGCTGGTTTAGTCCTAATTGATGGCCTATAAAAAGGTTTCTCATTACCAAGGTGTCGCACAATGGGCATCTCATGATGGGTAAAAGCAAAGAGCTCTCTCAAGACCTTCACAACCTTATTGTTGCAAAACATACTGATGGCATTGGTTAAAGACGTATTTCTAAACTCCTGAATGTTCCAGTGAGCACCGTTGGGGCCATTATCCGGAAGTGGAAAGAACATCATTTCACCATAGACTGGCCACGACCAGGTGCTCCTCGCATGATTTCTGACAGAGGAGTCAAAAGAATAAACAGAAGAGCTGTCCAAGAGCCAAGGACCACTTGTGGAGAGCTTCAGAAAGACCTGGAATTAGCAGGTACAGTTGTTTCAAAGAAAACAATAAGTAATGCACTCAACTGCCATGGCCTCTCTGCATGCTCACTGTGCAAGACTCCATTATTGAAGAAAAAGCATGTTGAAGCTCGTTTAAAGTTTGATGCACAACATTTGGACAAGCCTATGAAATACTGGGGGAATATAGTCTGGTCAGATGAGACCAAAATTGAACTCTTTGGATGTCATAGCACACATCATGTTTGGAGGAGAAATGGCACTGCACATCACCCCAAAAACATTATACCAACAGTGAAGTTTGGAGGTGGGAACATCATGGTGTGGGGCTGCTTTTCAGCATATGGTACTTGCAGACTTCATATAATTGAAAGAAGGATGAATAGAGAAATGTACCGAGACATTCTTGATAAGAATCTGCTGCCATCTACCAGGATGCTGAAGATGAAACGAGGGTGGACATTCCAGCAACACAACGATCCCAAACACACAGCCAAGGAATCTCTCAATTGGTTTCAGAGAAAGAAAATAAAGCTGCTAGAATGGCCCAGTCAATCACCCGACTTGAATCCAATTGAAAATCTATGGAAAGAACTGAAGATCAGAGTTCATAGAAGAGGCCCCCGGAACCTTTAAGATTTAAAGACAGTTTGTGTGGAAGACTGGCCCAAAATCACACCTGAGCAATGCATGCGACTAGTTTCTCCATACAGGAGGCGTCTTGAAACTGTCATTACCAACAAAGGCTATTCTACTAAGTATTAAATAAATTTCAGCAAGCGTGTTCAATACTTTTCCCTGTGTCATTCCACTTTATTACACATAACTTAATTTATGGACATATATGTTTTGATTTCTTTGTATGTGTGGGTTACTTGGGTTGTTATGGACATCTGGTGTCAATTTCATGTCAATAGTCCCATTAAAAAACATATTTACTGAGGAAAATGTTGACGTGTTCAATACTTATTTTCCCCACTGTATATGAACAGAGCTGTACAGATGAAGATTCACCGATTGAATTGAACACTCTCAGAGATAATGCAGTCATCTCTCGGAAATCTACTGGAGGGATGAACACCACTCTTTCACATCTTATTTCCTCATTTGGTGTTTTGATGATGATGAATCTCTCCTGTAATGTGACTCACATCAGTTTCACAGTCAGCAGACTGCCGTCTATTAAAGCACTTGTGGTTGTTCTGCAAAAGGAGGAGTTCCTTCCTCAGTGGGAGGGGTTTTCATGTGTGTCCTTTTAATCCTGTAGATGTGTTTCACCAGGTTTTGGTTCCCTCTCGTCCTCTCACTCACATCCTGTTGGGTTCTCCCAGTGAATGAAGACGCAAGTGAAAGAGTAACAGAGGTGAAAAGATTGCAGGTCAGGCGTACATCCTTCTTTAGCCTCAACATAAATAATACACTGCTCAAAAAAATTAAGGGAACAATTATCATCACAGTATAACACCAAGTCAGTTAAAGGATGGCACATCCATATGTGCAGAACGCAAGAAGGTTTGGTGCACAGTCTCAAGAGCAAGGAGGAGATACCAGGAGACCAGCCGTTTCACGAGGACAACTGGACAGAGCCATAGAAGGGCATCAACACAGCAGCAGGACCTGTACCTGCTCCTTTGTGCGAGGAGGAACAGGAGGAGCACTGCCAGTGCCCTACAGAATAATAATAATAATAATAATAATAACTTGGATTTTTATAGTGCCTTTCAAAGTGCTAGAGGCCACTTTACAGGGAAAGAAACACAAATGTGTTCACACACTCTGTGTGAATAAACTTTGGGCTCATTATGGATCTGTGAAGAACTGTTGTGTAGTTGATGAACAGGGAACACTGTGGCTCACTCTACGGTGTGTTACAGGGTGAGTGTGTTGTTCATCCATCGATGTTGGCTCAGATTTCTCTCTTGATAACTCGTCCTTGAAATAACAGTGAAGTACTGAACCACTGACTTCAGACCAGGTGTTTGTTGGTCAGTCACTTTCTGCTGCCTCAGGATAACAGTGCACCAACAGTGCTACTGACCACACCTCGTGTTGATGGGTTTATGGGAACTCAGATGGGCGTGTAGTCTATCTGCTGTGTAAAGATCTGTGTCGGTCTGAAACTAGCAGAGACTCTTATGTTAGCATTAGCAGCTCTGTTGTGGCTGTAGGAGGGTAAACAGGAAATAGTCATGTTGCATCATTTGACTCCAGACTCTCCCACTAACAAATACTCCCAATACTTTCAGAGATTGCTCTGTCCGCACATCACCACCATGAAACTGGAGCAGTTTGTATCATGTCACATTTGATTGGCTCTGACTCCTGTGTTGACCTTTGGTGTGGTTATTGAATCAGTGTCTGTGTGCGTGTGTTGCAGCTGATCACAGTCTACACGCTGCCTGGGATGGACTCTGATTGGCTGATTGGAGAGAGAGGGAACCAGAAAGGAAAAGTGCCGGTCACATATCTGGAGCTCCTCAGCTAAGGAACATACACACACATCTGTACAGCTATCTTTGTGGGGACCTTTAATTGACATTTTGTATTCCTTTAACCATCACAATTTAATGCATAACCTCACCCTCAAACAACCCTTCATATTTGCGGGATCCAGCACAAAGCACCACAGACCCCACAGGTATAGTACGCCCCCGGTTTTCAGACCCCACAAATATAGTAACACACACACATACACACACACACACTAAAGCCATGAGGACATTTACTTACATTGATTTCTTACACTAACCTGTAACCTCCTTCACTCCTCACACACACTCGTCCATAATGACGTTGAATCATGGAGTCATCAGTGATAATGGAGATACTGTTACAGTGAAAACAGGATTGGGAACGTCCTTTTTAGATTTGTTTTGTGATTTTTCCTATTTATTTTTCATTTATTGTCGTTAATCCCAAAGGTTCAGTTCGACCAAACTGTGACTCACTGTCATCAGATTTTCAACCAAATGATATTGTTGATTTGTTTTTTTAAAAGAAGTGTCTTTACTGTCTGTTAGAGCTGCCTTTGTTCATCAGGAACACGTTTAAGAGGACAGTAGGACAATACTCTGTTATTTCTGTTTGATTCTGTGTAGAGGTTTGAGATGAGTTGAGATGAGGAGTTTTTACGCAATAACAACAAATCCTGGTTCCTGTGGCGATGATGAGTCCTTCAGTTAAAGTGATGGTTCAAGTTATTTGACGTGTTACTACTCACAAGCTCACCTGTGGCTCTGTATCACTGCACAGATCAGCTGTTTGAGCCAGACAGAGCTAAGGGTAGATTCGCTTGTGTGTAGGAATATGGTAGTTCAACGGTTGAGAAAATGTAGTTCCAAAGTAAAGGTCTGTTTGACAGCAGATAAAGAGCTGAAAATATTCAAAATAAAGCGACACCGTTTTTCCACCAACATCATCAGATTTTTTAAACGCAGTTAAACCCTCTAATAAAAGCTGATTGACTCTTTTCCACTGTCAGTCCAGTTTGTCTATCTGTTCAGACCGAGGACAAACACAACTGTCAGAGTCTTTGTTTGAGACACTTCCATCAGAGATGGTGTTTTTAAAACTTATTTCAGAGCTGCAGCTTCACTCTTTCATTCTGGAGCTCAGTGTAGCCGCCATGTTTCTGGTTTATAAGGTGGACAGGTGACAGGTGTGTTACAGTGTCTGTGTCTGTGTCTGAAAGACGTCACAGCATGAAAAGGGGAGAAAGTTAATGAGTTCACCTGGTGTTGTGTTTACATCATTGCTGATTAATATAACGTCCACTGCAGAGTCATGTGACCCAGGTGTGAATGAAGACTGATCCTTTTCCATTGCTGACAACAACCTGATGTTAGCAGGTCTCAGCAGGTTTTCTGACCACAGGAAAATGAGCTTTAATCTGCTATTAGCGTTTTTCTGTGGGTATTTTTTAAAGTGGCTAAAACATGTTTTTGGCAGATGACCCCACCCACAGCAGCTCATCACTCAGCTTCTCTAAACTGGGATCTGAATCTACTGCAGCTAGCACACTGACTGTAGATCAGTATCTCACACAACCCCATGTAAATAACTTGAACTGTCACGTTAAGGACAGTCCATCTCTGTGTGACAGACACTCCTCAGTGAAGGACTAAACAGGCAGCGGATCATTGTGACCATATGATCACAGACAAGTCATGATGTCATACATCACTTCCTGTAATCAGCAGACACAGAGAGGAAAACCATTCATTCCACTTGATGGTTTATTTAAACCCACGAGTAAACATATTCCTCTTTCCTCCAATACGACATGAACACATTCACATTTCTCACTCACACTGAAAAACAATACCTATGAAACAGCAAATAAAGTTTTCTCTGATGGGAGGCAGGTTTGTCTTCTGCTTATTGAAATGAATGTAATTCCTGTGTTATTTTAAGTGATATAACATGGTGTGGAAGGGGAAACCCTACTAACAGTTTGGCTTGACTGAGTCACGTTGTTCATTTGTCTTGATCAGACTTGTCCCGCACATTTTGTGTTTGTTTTTGCTTCCTGCACCTCCCACAGTGCTGAACAGTGTGGACACTGTGCAGCAAATAAATGTGAACACTCCCATCCAAACTGCCTTAAGACGATGGGAAGGCACTGCTCCGGCCGTCTGCTGCAAACCAGAGAATGTGCTCTTTACAACACAGTGTCACCACATATGGCATGCAAGACTTTTAACTCCTTCTAATAAGGTGCGTGTGTTTGTGTGATTTAGGTTCCTGGATTTCCAATGTTCCTGTTTTGTCTGTTAAAACTAAAGTGTCTTCAGTCTTTGTGCTGCATGTGCTACAGCTGTAGCCCGTCCTGCTGGACATGTATGTGTGTAAACAACAATATGATTTTGCTCAGTCTGTTAACGTGAGATGTGGAATGCCAGGATGTTTGTACACAACTAGTATGTTCTCTTACATGCTTTCTCTTTACCAGCCAAGCCTCAGGAGTTTTTGTGAAATGAGCACGTTTGAAAAAGCATGTGTCCCCTCCTCTAATCTTTTGCTCATTTCACAAATTTTAGAGGATTTTCTCTTTAAAAAAAAAATTTTTTCTACTGCCGTTGTGATTCTGTAATACCTCATCTTGTATTAATATTATTTTGTCAAAATATGTATTGCCTGTTCCTTAAGTATCCTGAATGAACGAACTGTATAGAATTTAATAAAAAGTCAGATTTATTTGAATTCAGTGTACTACCATGTACTTGTCAAACCATCTGAAAACCACGGTGATCGAAAGCTGAACCCAGTGCAGGAGCGTCTGAGGATGCAGTTCCTCTAAATGGCTGTAAAACGCAACTACAAGTGGAAAAAATCTATATCTCTGACCACATGAAAATCACAGACTCTGTTGCTCAATAATGTGATTTTGAGTCATTGTTTCATCAGGGAGGCAATCGTCCCTCCCTCTGCTCAGGATGTTGTCTGTACTTTATCCAGGCTCAAAGGTTACTACCACAGGCAGTAAAATCAAACTCATTCATTCAATCTTAATCTATGACTCCGTCATGGCTGAATTGTGAAATACTACCAATGTCCCTGGTCCAAGCACTGAACCCTTGCAGATGTTAGCCACGCCTGCGGTATGGATTTAGGGATTGCTTCACCACTTTGGTCAAAACTGAAATATTTCAACACCTTTTAGATGAACGTCCATGAACTTTTGTACGTTCACTGATTCTAATGTCAGTCTGCTTGGATTCTGCAGCTACAGAGCATTTAGAACATTTTCAGACCCCTTCACTTTTTATTCCTCTGCTCCAGCGACAGTCAGAGCAGCAGCCATTTTGTTTTCAGGTCATCTGTCCGTCTCATTCTCTTCAAGGATGAACTGATTAGACTTTGGTGGTCAAAGGTCAAGGTCAGTGTGACCTCACAAAACACAAGTCATAAATTACCTCAAACAGACACTTGAAACGCACACATGACGAAATTAGAGGTTACATTGTATTTTGGAATGAACATGCCTCTGTGTACCCAAAAAAACGGGACGTGTTTTTTTTTTTTTATTTGACTTTTTAAAATTGTTTTTAAAACTGTTGAAAAAATTAGCATATAATTAGATTAAGATGGCAAACGAAAACATGTTTAGCAAAAAGAAATGCGGCAAAAGAGGCATGGGAGTGAATTTTTATTTATTCAATTAATAATTTTCCTTTCGCAAGCTCACTATGCCATGAATGTGATGAGGGCCATGCCATTGCCCACACACCTACAACTTTGTTAATGCTGTGTACAGGGTTATCTTTCGATAAATATTGATTTAATCACAATATCTTTCTGAAATATTTTGGGAAAGGTGAGGGCATCCCAAAGCTTGCCGTTGTAATAATGTACTTAATGAAGAGACCCTCCACAGTAGCGAGTGTCACTCCACATTGAGTTACACTCTGTCTCTGAGTGGGAGTGTGTAGGGACCAGATTGGAATTGGGCCAGCCAGTGTGTCTGTTGTTTGAGTTCCTGCCTTTGTGTTTCTGTTTGAGCCAATCACTCTGTGTTTATTTGTGGCCTTGTCTTTCCCTCTTTGAGTTGCCAGAACGTTGTGTTCAGTTTCTGTGTCATGTCATGTCCTAGATTCATACTACTTGAAGCAAGTCTGTATTATTGCATACACATGTTCACAAAGAAAAGTGACAGAATTTAGTACACTCAACCCAGACAGTGTGCAGAATGGATTCTATTCTCCCACAATGCAATGCACAAAAGAAGACAGGTCATGGCTCACGTGGACACGATATCTCAGTAACGTCTTGAGGGAACTTCTTCAGATTTGGCACAAGATTTCACTTGGACTCAAGGATGAACTGATTAGATTTTGGTTGTCAAATGCCACCTCTGACATTTTTGGCCATTAATCTGGAAATCATCCACAGACTAAATAAAGAAGGACATCACCTCTGTGACGTCACCCACAGGTTTCTGAAGCTCAGCGTGCGCTGCGCCACCGTCTCCATCTTGGCAGTGCCTGATTCCATCCCTAACTTCCAGCTAATCAAAGAACTGAGACTCACACCCACCTGTCACTCAAAGAGGCCACGCCCTCAGTTCTCAACTTTAAGCCTTAATAAAAATGTAAACAGGTGAGTTAAATAAACAATTGTGATGGAGGAAATTAGCTATAAACAATTGTGATGGAGGAGACCAAAACTGGTTTTGTACAAGGCTGTAAACATGTTTATTTCTGCTGTAAAGTTGGACATTTTAACATGGGAGTTTATGGGGATTGACTCACTGTTGGAGCCACTCAGAGAAACTGCAGGTTTTTTCTAATAGGATAAAATGATGGAGTGTTGACATTTTCAATCCAAAATGTCAAAATTAGGTCAACTTCACTGTGACATCATAATGTTCTGCAAAAACACTAGATGATGTGACCATGATGTGTCCAGTAGACATAAAACTGTGTTATAACAAAGAGATGAGGTCAACAGTAACTGTTTAACTAAGCAAGTAATTTATTAACGATAACTCACAATAAATAAAGCATTTTGTATGAAGCTGCTTCACCAAGCTTTTTTTTTCATTTATATCATAATTGTACTAATCAGTCCACACACAAAAGTATAATTTTCTGAAGAAGCCTCTGTCCATGTGTTTTTGTGGTCATGTGTAAGTGTGACAGTCCAGCTGCTTCAGAGCATTCAGACCAGTGATGTCAGTTTATCTATCAATCACCTCAGTGTTTGTCTAAATTCACCTTCCTCCAGCCACACTAAACCTGTTAATGTAGTAGCTGTACTTGGAATGACCCACACACTGAGCTTCATGCGTATTGCTGTGACCTAGTGTTCATAAATGTTATGATAATTTCTTTAAAGTAAAGTAGGAACAATGAACATAGCACCAACTCAAAGTACAAAGTGCCCAAGCAATGAATTAAATAATTTAATTAAGACAAAACAACAGAAAGAAAACAAATTGTTAGTCTTGATAAATAGCTTTATATGAGCGTACATACAGCAGCACATTCATGTTACAAAAAGAGAGAAAAACCCTTTTCCATATATTTTTATCAGCTTACAATGAACCCCATGGTGAAAAAAGTCAAATTCATTCACACACAAACTGAGTACGATCCCTCATCACACTGATTTCTGTAGCACCCTGAGTCAGACATGACACCAGCTCTGAGACATTGACAGCTCCCCACACTTTCCAGCATCTTCTATTTTAACAGTTAAGTTTCACAACAGATGTGAGTGTCATTCACACTGACAGTAGAAATCTAGCTCTCTTGTTGGAGGCGTTTGGTTTGGTGCGTTGGTGAAAGTCATTTTTCACATTTACTACTTGATTAGACACACCACAAAATTGTGGCCATGGCAGCAGGACTGTGTGGGTGTGGTTTACAGTCTGCCCGTAAATACTCAATGTTTACTACTTGTCAAATTTCCCTTATCAAACACACTGAGCTCACTACAGCAACACAGTGAGGAATGTACAAACAACAGAGTTATTCAGACTTTTATGGCTTCAACACCAACACACTTCCTCTGGACCATTCATTCAAATTCCAATAATGATGATGATGATAAATCACAGTACAGTACTGATCACATTCAGATGCTTGTGGGATAAAAAATATATATAAAAACGTCCAATTACTTGACTTTTCTTAACATAATAATAATAAATAATAATAATAATAATAATAATAATAATAATAATAATAATAATGATAATAATAATACTAAGTGTTACACCAATGTCTGCGACCCTTTAGATTCTACAGCTCTAGGCTCGCCCAGTCTGACTTTAGTCCTCCCCCTCACTTCTGCTTTTCCACTCTGTCAAAGGTCCTTTCATTCGAAACTTCGTCATCACATCTGACCAATTATCTGTCTGCTCATTCCTCTAGACCCTCTAACCCTGTCCTCTGGCTTTGAAGTCGGTCCAACACTGTCTCTGTCACAACAAGTGGTTACAACAGGGGAAAATGCCTTACAAATGATTAATCATTAAATTATTAATCCTTTCAAAGATGAAACAACAAACTAAAATGTCCTGTTGCTGCTGAAAGCTTCTGAAGTCAGATGGATATTTAGGGTTGAGGCAATGTGTGCTTACATGCATGTTGTGTCAGGAACGTAACATGTTTTAATGACTGCATTTGGAGTCATTTATTCTCTTTCCTAATGCTTGCTCCACCACAGCAGAAAAAAAACACACTCAATCCATATGTCAAAGTTTCCAGCATTTTGGGGCAAGACCAAACTGACACTGGTTTTCCTGCGGAATCAATCTTAATACTTTAAGGTGAACTGTGAACTTTTCACTTGTAAACAAGGTATATTAAAATCTAATAAGCAGATAGCCGTTTTATCCAGCCAGAGCACAAGCTCGTATCTCCAAATTGTCCAAATCACACTCAGTTGTAAATTAGAATCCTATTCATTTGACGATATAAAACAGAGAAGATCTTCACCTGTAAGAAGAATTTTTTTCTTGATTAAACAACTTTTTTCAAAAATAGATGCTTCATTCAAACGACTGATTGTTTCTGACAAAATGCTTCTTTCTTTCAAACATATAAAATAAGTTAGAGGATTTTTCATACAGTTGGCAGTGCCTCATGTTAGGGATGTTCTTTTGTGGATAGTGTGATAACATCAGTGACATCAATCAAATCTGCAGTCAAGCAGATACCAGCAGCTTACACTGGTTTCCTCCCTGAGGTTTTCATGGAGTGGAGGGAGCATCAACCTCAGGGTGGACTCAGGTGTTTGGACTGTCTAACCTGCTCACTGAGGCAGGAGTTCAGCACCGAAGAACACCTGGTATTCATTGTTAGCGATCAGCTGAGGGTGTGTTGAATTCACGCGCAGTCTGCTGTTAGCCTCCAGGAGAAAGGAGCCGGCTGTGTAGAGGGATTTACTCCAGTGCTTCATCCTGCAGCTCACTGTGTCCACTGCTGACAGCAGAGGCCTTTTCCCACGGTAACTGTCTGTGATACAGTACACGATGTTACTGAGTACCTCTTCACCCGAGCACTCAGGGCCACGCTCACCCTCGTAGGTGATCTGCAGGAAGACTCTGTAGACGCCCTTCCTGGGCACAACAAGGTTCCCACTTGAGTAGTTGAAGCCTCCGTGACAGTGGGCATTTCCTATCTTACTTTCCCATAGAAGGTATTTCCCATCAGTGTTTTTCTCAAATGGAGCTGAGGGTGAGAGCAGAGAGGCAAACACAAGCTTATGAATGTTTTATATATAAATATATATATATGTGTGTGTGTGTGTGTGTGTGTGTGTGTGTGTGTGTGTGTGTGTGTGTGTATATAATATATGTATATATTTATATATAAACACATATATCTGTATGTATACTGTATATAAGGAGCTGTGGCCCAGCTCCCAGTCAGCTCCCAGAACAGCCCAATGATCCCAGTTTTACACAATAAGCAGAACAGGAATCTAGTCAGTGTTTATTTATCAGGACAATCTTGTGTAGCTTCATTTTCTGCTCTGGTTTCATCAGAAACTCTAATAATCTGATTAAAGTCCTCAGCTCAGATCTACAATCATTTCAATGAAAAATGTCTGGTGTTGTATTTACTGTCCAGTCTGAATACAGTTGAAAGTGCTGGTTGTTCTGTTTCATGTGTTCATGATTAATTGATCTTTATTTAATGAATCCACTGCCTGTCACACTTAAGTGTGACAGGCAGTGGATTCTGGTTTTTGACTCTGTTCATCACGTGTTACTGAGAGTAGCTGCAGCTTTCAACTGTGACCAGCTCTGGCTCATAATTGACATTACTGAAAATCCAGTGTGATGATTCACAGCTCTTACGCTTTGTCCAGAGCATTTTCCCATTTTCAAGTCAAAAGAAAAAGTCACATTAAAGTCAATGTTTGCTACATACACAAAATAATAGTCTCTGTAGTCTAATTATATAGTTGTTTTTGTATTAGTGACTTTGCATCACAAAAAACGAAGACACGAAGGGAACGTATAATGTAAACAATAAACAGATATAGAAATGAAAAGGATATGATGTGTATGGTATGTGTCAATGATGTGTGTGTGCGTGTGTGAGCGATTTTTCACGGTTTATATGTGATGTAGTCGTATTTATCTGTGGGAGGGAAAGTATAATGGACAATAATGATATAGATAAACAAAAAATAAAAACAAAACAATATATAATAATAATGATGTTTTATATGATATCAAAAAAGAGGAAAAAAGAATAACAATAAATCTAATGAAAAGAATATGCTGATATGATATTGTAAAATGTATGTTTATAGAATAATATAACAATTGTGTGGTGGCTGATTATATAGTTAAAATACAGTATATTATAATTTATAGGTTCATTCAGTTTACATGTTATGTTAAGCGACACTAGTGGAACCAAATACAGTAAAACCTTATTCAAACAGTGACTGAAGCACTTAGTTTTACCTGTTAGCAATGCGCTTGGATTCTCCAAGCCTGAAAGTTGCTGCTGTTTGTCGCTGATTCCTACAAGAGAGATTTAAAAAGTGTTTTACACTTTGATGAATGACTGATTTTACAAGAAGCCAAGATTAGCTGTGATCTCACTAGATGACAAAACAAGATATTTACCTGATGATTGGCTGTCCGGCTGCTTCATGAGCTGAAAGGAAACAAACACTTTCTTAGCAACATTTGTTATAAAAAGAAATTTAAATAACACAGACACAAGTCAGTTTAGAAAGTCTTCAGACCTTGTCACTTTTTTCACATTTTGTCATATTGCAGTCTTATGCTGAAATTGTTTAAATTCATTTCCCCCCTCATCAGTCCCCCATAATGACGTGAAAACAATTTTAGAAATGTATGCAAATTTATTAAAAAAAGGAAAAACTGACATAATGTATTCAGACACTTTACTATGACTCTGTTAGTTTAGCTCAGGTTCCTCCATTTGAGCTGATTGGACACCTACTGTCTATTGGGTGTCACAGCTTACATTGCGGATCAGAGCAGAAACCATGAGGAGGAAGGAGCAGCTGCAGAGCTCAGAGACAGGATTGTGTCAAGGCTCACATCTGGGGAGGGATACAGAAAAATATCTGCTATGCTAACTACATGCATCTACATATACGTTGTTTCCAGGTGAGAACAGCACCAAAAGTTACCAATAAATTCCAGTCAGGCACTTTGCAGCCAGTGTATATATATAATATCTATCAGTGGCAATGTATCTACCTGGCTAAAACCAAATCCAAAACTGACCTGGTTACAATCAAACATCTGGATACCTGAACATGTCTGTCCATCAGTGGTGGGTAATGACTGTGGAGTTATGAGGGAGAAATGAATTTAACTGCTTTAACATAAAACTGCAACATAACAAAATGTGAAAAAAGAGAGGGAGTCAGTACTTTCTGAATGCACTGTACATTACAATAAATGCATCAGCAACTTCGCTAAATAATGTAATGAGTCACTTGAATAATTATAAAATATAAACTGACCCCATCTTATGTAATTAATTTTTTATAATGAACATTATGATATTTGTATTACAATGTTCTGTATAACCACACTGCAATAGCAGAACAATATTTATATCATTATTATTATTAATATTATAGAATATAAAAATATCTATTATAGTAACTAAGGATTTAAATCTACAGTAATTGGTAGAATATTTAGCACAGGCTAATGCTACTCCAGCTTTGCCTGGTCATATATGGTACTAAAGAATTAAATGATGCATTACACAAACACAGTTTAAAAGGAAACTGAGTCATTGAGTCTAATAGGACAAGGCAAGCTAAATGTAAATCTGACAGCCATGCTAATGAGCAAGGCTAATATAGCACAGAAAGGCAACAGCCATATGAGGGAGGGTATTTTTCATTTTAAAGATTTTTATTAGTTATTTTCCACCAATATCTTTATATGTTTAAAACCAGCAGAAACAGCTCGTTGTTGAATCTGAAGGGCAGCACCACGCTAGGCGGCGAACCTGCCAAAGATTTATCAGGCGAAGAAGAAATGAGGACGTATCTTGTTACTAAGCAACGAACCAACAAAAAGACAAGAAGGCTCCGCCCTGTCACTCCTCAAAACTATTTTAGAACTTCGTTAAAGCGCTTAGGGAAAAAAAAGTCGCGTCATTCCTTTGAGGACACCTGAACGTGTCTGCCTAGGGTAATGGTGCTTTCTTTGTACTGCCGATTCATAATTAATAAAAAAAAATGCATTTTGTGTGCTGGCGAACAGCAGGACATCCCGAGGTGGGCACCTGCTGCGGAAAACATGGTTGATAAATCAGTTAGCTAACTTTAGCAACTCTGCAACCGGAAATAAACTTCGACCTGCTCAGTGAGCGTAAAAACTCTAAACTTCATAGCAGCACGTTTAGCAACGTTTCCACAAGTTGCTCAGTTATAAAAAGAGAAAAAAGACTATACATTAATAATTCGACACCTTTAAGTGACACAAAGTTCAAAACAATGACAGCTTTGTTCAACCAGCAGCAACACCAGCGGCTGTTAGCTGAAGGACTGCGCAGTATTTGGTGTATAAACGTTACCTGGTCGTGCAGTGACTCGGGACCTCGCCCTCCCAGTACAACAAGTAAAGCCACAGCTGCTGAACTCAGTAGCAGGACCACCACGGTTAAAAGCTGAACCATTCGCAGTAACCGCGTCTCTTTTCTGCGGATGAGTTGGATCGAGGTGTTGTGCAGATAGAGTCCTGCCTCTCCCACGGAGTAGCTGTCGTCGTCCATGCCGCTGTTTTCTCACTCGAGGATCACCGTCTCCATTTATCAGCGCGGGTTCGCCCACGTTGAAAACCGCAGGTCTGAGGTTTGTGGGAGTCACGATTTAACACAGTTTCACCGCGTTTCGAGACTCTAACGCCAACTTCTTCTTTCTGAGGTTAGTAGGTCCAAGGACTGCAAAGCGGTTCATCAGCATAAGACGCAATATGTCCCGCGACAGAGCTGCTGTTCTCCCAGTCCAGTTTTGACTGCCCCATATCACAGCATGGCCCCACTGTCTGAGCCCTGCTGCTAGGATCAACCCCGGTACAGACTGAGAGGGGAGAGAGCCACACCACTGCCACTGACACAGAAACACAGGGTTAATGACTGTAATCAGCCCAATATGACATCAAACATCAGCCCCTGCCCATAGAGCCACTTCCTGTTGAGACCAACTGTCTGCAAACTTCGCAGCAGTCAAAGGCATTAAATAAAAACATTACTGTCAATGTTACTTTAACTGAAACCACAATGCACTTTCTCATGACTAATGTTCATTCATTATGCAATATTGAGGTCAAATGGCATCAACTGGAGAAACAGAAAAAAAACATTAAATTAAATGACACCGTGCAGCAGCAGATGACCTGATGGCCATAAGAAGAGACACAAGTGAAACTCCCACACAGCAGATTTAACTGTACCTATCCTATAACTGTATTGGAAGTATTGCAGACTAACATATTCTATCAAACCAACCCCCGATCTCTATTTGTTTAGTATATTTGGCATAAAATGTCAATATAAAATCCATTTGATTTATGTAGAGCTAAATAACGACTTTGGAAACAGAAAGTGCTGTAATATTAACATGAAACATAAACAACATTCCTTCTGTCAGCAGTTTTAAACAAGAGGTGTGGGCTTCCAACAGATGATGTCAGATGTAAAGGTGGGGTTATCAGCCTGTAGCTGTGACTGAGGGAGATGATGTTAGTGGTCAGCTGCAAACCTTGTTCTGAAGAAATAAGATGTTAACAGGAGAATGTAAGTGAGGCAGAATAATTAACACATTGTTAATTAAAACCACCCACTGCACAAAAATGTCTCTTATGGTGACTTCACAGATGCAGATTTTGTTTTCACATTCTGTGATTACCTCATATTTCAGGTTAATGTGTGAACATACAACCATCAGCCTCCAGACTGCAACATGAAGTATTAACAATGAAGAACCAAAACCCGCAGTTCCTCTAATGACCACTGGAGTCTGGCTCCAACAATCCCCATAAATCCCCATTTTAAAATGTCCAACTTTACAGTAAAAATAAATATGTTTAAAGCCTGGTACAAAAACAGGTTTGGTTTCTATAGCTAATTTCCTCTTTCATGACAACTGTTTATATAACTCACCTGTTTACATTTTATTAAGGCTTAAAGTTATGGAGAATTGAGGGCATGGCCTCTGAGTGACAGATGACTGAACGTGTGCTTGCCACAAAACAACCTTCACCAAAGTCTTGGCACTTGGATCAGCTGGGAGTTAGGGGTGGAGTCAGGCACTGCCAAGATGGTGACAGTGGCGCAGCTCTTTGAGTTTCAGAAACCTGTGGGTGAGGTCACAGAGGCTACTTCCATCTTTATTTACGGTGTGCAGTTTATGCACAAGCAAGATTTTGTGACATTACAACTAGTATGGAAGCCAGCCACAGTCCTTATAAACCTCCAGTTAACAGACTTCACAGTAGAGCAGACATCTTGTGTCCAGCTGTTCGATATTTGAAGTGAACATTTACATATTCATACATTCTGGATTTTTAAATGAGTGAGAAGAAGTAGATGCAATTTTAACTAATTAATTTAACTTTTTTTGTGAAAACAAACATATCTGAGCAGAACATCTGTGTATATCTGGATCTGTAACATATGGCAGTGACTGAAATTAAAGATATGTGAGAAACAAAGACAACAGTTAATCCCATTTTTATTTGAGAGTTGAGCTCCAATGTTGGGGTATTATTTACATCATTTCATTCTTTGTTCAAAGTTCTGGGTTATGGTTCTTAGTCCTGCAGTTGTGAATATGGCAAAGCCCACTGATAATAAGAAATAAAAATAAAAATAGAAAAAGCCGTGGGCTGAAAGCGACATCACCCTCCAGAGTAAAAGGTTGGAGCTTTAGAGTGACAGTGTACACACAGTATCCTACCTGTACATTAATAGCGTTACTATTCACATTCATCTGTACAGTAATCATATTTACAGTGATCACATTAGGGAAAGAGCCAGTACCTGAGGAGTTAGTTCCATAATTAGCTTTACTCATTCACCATGGTAAAAAGAAGCGCACCCAACCAATGGTAACCGAAACAACACAGAAAACACATGATCCACGTCCAGGATCAGGTGTGAAGCTTTGAAGTGCATTGATTTTATAGCAGCTTACTGATGCAACTGTACGTGAGAACAACAAGGCTTTTTCACTATGTGCAGGTTGTTTCTACGGTGGCCCAGAGAGCTCAACACAACACACAGCAAACTCTGAGAAAATCATCAGTATGACAACACATGGGCTGCAGATACTCACAGTCAAATACACAAACAAGAAAACAACAACAGAAAACTGCTTGTTTTTCAATGTTTTGTGACTTTTGAAGTTAAAAGTATTGAACAACAAGTGAACATAGATGTTTTTATAATACATGTTTTATATATTTTTATGTTATGTATTTAAGTGTGTTCCAGCCAGGTGCATCACTTTTAATGTCCCCTGGAAACACTATTGTCGTCTATGCAGCGTGTTTGTGTGGTTATGTTGTGAGTATCTGCAGTTCGTGTTATTAAACTGATGATGATTTCGGCCTTTTTTTTTTGTCTGTTTGCATGTGTTTTTGAGCTCTCTGGGTAGTTTTCACTCCATAGCAAAAGTATCAATACTAGAATACTGTTCATGTTGTAGACATCACACGTCCTGAACCTGGCCTCTAACGTATGTGAAACATTGTTCTAATGGTTTATCCAACTTTTGCTGAGGTAGGCAGCAAAGAGCTGATTAGATCACAAGCAGATTATGGCGGTTTAGCCCTGCAGTAGTGTCAAATGTGAGAGTTTATAAATGGTGGATGCATCTTTAAAAGGAACACTCCTCTTAGACTTCAGGTGAGCTGGCACGCTTTAACAGAAAGGAATATAAACAAAAGGTGAGGTTGTTATAATGCTTGTGCCAGCAGCCTTCCTCTCCCCCTACGACTCTCTCCAAAACACACAAACTATACATGAGAACATATTGGCCAATTCATATTACCATTTGACAGCACGTTAAGATAAAACACCATGAATAAACACATCATACATGTGCAGCATTTCTCCCAAGGATGAAACGTCAACCAATAAATAAGAACTGAATAAAAATTCATTAAATAACAATCATTGTCTCAGTTTCAGATCACTGCTCCAGGTGATCCACTTATAACTTAAACAGTCAAAAGTCCTTTTTAAAAACATCTGAAATGCTAGGCTGTCTTGTAGCCTCTCTCCCTGGTGTCAGGATCACACAGGTGGACGCTCTGCACCTGTCTCATGCGATGCCAATTACCCAACTAATGTGCACAACAGTGCCCCCTTCAGGCACAACTCAAACAAACACTTTTCTTTGGATCCATTTCACTGATTCCAAACAAAATCATATCAAAAAGGGAAAAAAACTCTTCCATTTCTTTGATCAGATCTGCTTGATCAGTGCTGTCACTTTGCAGAGTTGTGAAGAATCGTAGCCGAGCAAGATAACAACAAGCAGTCATACATGAAGGAGCTTTGGATTTGGTACTTTCCAGCAGCTTTGTGTCATCTGTAAATCTAGGTGTCCAGCTTGGGGGTGGATGGTGTGCTAAGCCTTGTAGCAGTTGCCCTGCGTTGTGAGCGCCAGCTGGCCGTTGGGTGCCACCTCGTTGGCCTCATCCTCCAGCAGGCCCGACACGTCAGCGTTGGGGATGCTGTCATGGTAGCTGCTGAAGCTGATGTTGTCCTCTTTCAGCTCTATGGTCCAGAAGGGGGCGTTTAGCTTGCGGTTCTGGTACTCCCGGTAGGTATACACGCCTCCAACAAAGCCCAATAGCAGCAGCACCACCAGGATGATGACGGCCAGGATGATGATGTTGAACTGCGTCCAGGAGACTTCAGTCAGGGCAGCCGTGGTGTTGTCAGTGGGGCTGCTCAGGCTGGTCAGCAGAGCCTGGATGGTGGCGGTGGTGGTCAGCACGGCGCTTGTGTTGCCGCTGGAAGTGAAGGCCGGGATGCCTCTGGCTGTTGAGGAGGAGGTCAAAGTGGTGCTGGTGGTAGACGTGGAGGGGGAGGGTGTGATGATTGTGGGGGCCTCTGTCGTGGTTGTACCTGCTGGTGTGGGAATGAGCCGTGGTGCTGAGGAGAGAAAACACATGAAAACATGAGATTTTCACAGATTCAATGTTGTGGATATGAAACCAAAGTAAGTTGTGACACCTAGTGGCAAATAGACAAAACTACATGTGACTGTGAACACACCTGCTGCATTGCCTTAGATTATAAACTTGTAATAAAGATTTTCAAAGACTGTCCTCTGCTGCTGTCATGATCAAAACCTGTGGTGCATTTAGGTTCTGTAGATCTGTATGACTCAGAGCTGTGCACAAAGAAAAGTTTTTCCTTTAAAGAAAAAGTTTCTTATTTGATTCTATGCATTCAATGTACTTTTAACTTATCTATTTCTATTTTTTTAATTCTGTGTTATTTAATTATTATTATTTATATTCCATCTTATTTAACATGAAAGTTTTTAACATGTTCATGTGAGGACTTGGTGCAGGTCATTTCTTTGTTGTGGTTCCACTTTACAATAAGACTAGATTTATAAATAGCTTAATTAATTCAGTTTCACTATTCACTATTTCAAGATCAAGTTAATGCTCACTACTCATTAATCTGACTAATTATTGGTAAAAGGTGCCTTATAGTAAATTGTGAAAAACATTGATCATTTATTAATGTTACCAGTTAGTTACTGACATATAAATGGTTGTAAAATGAGAAGAAACATGAAGATGATGGAGGGAGATTAACAGAGATGAACAGTGAGACAAAGACTGAGCAGTTCACCAGGTAAAAGGTGTTCTACCTGAATGTTAAAGTCCTGAAGAAGAGACCAACCAACAAAAAGCATCTCCATGTTTATATCTGATCAACAGCTCTGATAATAATGAGGACGGCTGCTGAGCGCATGTCAAGATAAACAATACTGCCAAGGCCTCAGACGATGAATCTGGTCATGATCATGTCATCTGCCATAATTTGATAGATCAATAGATTGACAGATAGATACTTTATCGTGTCCCTTAGCTCATTGTTGATAATAATAATAACAGCTAATAATAAATAGACAATTATAATTAAATTATTCCACTTCTTTTGGCTGAGTTGTTGTATAGCCTGATGGCAGTGGGAACAAAGGATCTCCTGAACCTCTCTGTTCTGCAGCGCAGTGAGATGAGATGTTTGCTGCACCCTTAGCTGCTTCTCTGTCCTGCCAGAATGTTGCATGCAATGAAATGTCTTTCATTGCATGCATCTCTCCATAACAGTCCTGAGTGAGTCCAGACTCCTGCCAAGCACAGACCCAGCCTTTCTGTTCATGTCGGAAATGCTGCTGCTCCAGCACACTGCAGCATAAAAAAGTACACTGTCCACCACTGACTGATAAAACATGCAACATTTCACTGCAGACATCAAGGTACCTGAGCCTTACTGAGGAAAAAGAGCTGGCTCTACCCCTTCCAGTAGATGGCATCCGTGTCCGAAAGTCCATGACCATCTCCTTGGTCTTGGAGGTGTTCAGGTCTTGTCGCTCCATTCACTGAAGGCCATTGTCAGATCCTTGTACCCCTCTTCCTTCCTGATACACGCCACAATAGCTGTGTCATCTGAGTATTTCTGGATGTGGCAAGACTCAGAGTTGTATTTAAAGTCAGCCGTATACAGGGTGAACAGGAGCAGAGCCAGAACAGTCTCCTGTGGATCCCCAGTGCTGCTCCCTGAGACACAGTTACCCAGCCTGACGTACTGTGGTTGTCTTGTCAGGTAATCCACAATTCAGGACGTGAAGCAGGGATCCACCCCCATCCCTTCCAGCTTGTCTTTAAGAATGGCAGGTTGGATGGTGTTAAATGCACTTGAGAAATCCAAGAACATAATCTTCATGTAAACATCTGGCTCATCCAACTAAGAATGGGCCCAGGGGAGCATGTAAAGCACAGCATCATTCACTCCAATATGTTCCTTGCTGGCGAACTGTAGGGGGTCTAGTGCATGTTTAACCTGTGGCCTCAGAAGGTAGAGAAGCATCCACTCTAGGGTCTTCATGATGTGTGATGTGAGGGCCACTGGTCTGTAGTCATTCATCTCAGCCGGCCGTCGTACTTTAGGTACCAGGACAAGACATGATGTTTTCCACAGGACCAGGACCCTCCCTGTTTGTAGACTTAAGTTGAAGATCCTCTGCAGAGACTCAGCCAGCTGGGCAGCAAAGTCCTAACCCCCGGACACACACCATCCAGGCCTGCTGCTTTTCCAGGACGTAGCCTCTTGAATTCAGCCCGCACCTCCTCTGCTGTAAAGGACAGGAGACTTGACCCCAGCATGGAGAGAGTTGTAGCTGCCGTGTCAGGTTGTGAAGGAGATGCTGTAGGAGAAGCTGCAGTTGAAGCAGTGGAGAGAGAACAGGTGAGGCTGTGTCAAACCTGTGGTGGAACAGGTTAAACTCATTGGCACATCATCACCTGATGTTGCCTGACTGCTCTTCTCTTTATAGCCAGCGATGGTCCTCATCCCCTTCCACATCTCTCTGGTATTGTTGTGCTGCAGCTTCCTCTCTACTTTCCTTTTGTAGTCCTCCTTTGCCTGCTTTAATCTCCTCTTCAGCTCATGTTGCACTGAGCTTCTCCCTGTCTCCATCCCTGCAGGCCTGCTTTTTTCTGGTTGAGGAGGGTCTTGATGTTACTGGTGATCAAGTGTTTGTTTGGAAAGCAGTGTACAGTCCTTGCTGGTATTACAGTGTCCATACAGAAGTTAATTTAGTATGTGGTACATTCAACCATTCTATCAAGGTCAGTGTCCTTGCTGTTATCATTTTCCTTTGACTCCAAAAGTACATTCAAATCTGTGCACTCAAAACAGTACTTGAGAGACTCACTGGCCTACAGGGTTCAGTGCCTGAATAAGCGAGTGGTTGTAGCCTGCCTTAGTAGAAAGGGTTTGTAGGAAGGCTGAAGGAAAACCAGAATGGACACCAGACAAACTGGAAAACATGGGCAAAATCTAGTTTGTAAAAATAGGACTCTGTCTAATGATATCTGATTGTTTCTTATAGACAAGTAACACCAAAAGGACTGATTATCACTATCACTATCACACACACATACATACACACATCAACCTCCCTTCCTCTGTCCCTCTCTAGATAAGAGTCATAAACTACAACCCACATTCCAATCCATGGTAGTGACCAGCAGAACACTCTTCACAGGAAGAATATCTAAATTATCTAAATTATCTAACTGTTCTGTAACTCATGAGATGTTTCTATGTAATAGTTCAATCCCAAACTTCTACATCCTATAGAATGTTTGAAATGTAACATGTAGACTTTAAGACAATGTCCTTAATATGACCATACTGACAGCATCCTTCACACAAGGTAACACTCTGCATGACATCCAGAATGTCCATATTATTATTATTACAGTTAAAGAACTGAGCTGTGTAATCCACATGTACAGACTGTTAACTTTGTGAAATGTTTATATTTTTGTTTGATCAGTTAACCACTTGTATTATGATTAATTCCAGGTTTGAAAGATGTAATATGAACTCAACACTCATATTATGCCTGTCCGTCATTATTAGTCCCATTAGGTTTATATATTATTTCATTTAATGTTTTATGGTCATGGTGGAAGATGGATGTTTGAGTTTATACGCAAACTGTAGAATGAAACTATTCAAAAGTTCTGTGGAAAATTACTCTCTTCTCATAAAATAAAACAGTTATGATCAATTCACACTTGGCTGAAAACTTTGCTCAAAGCTCAAAGTCCAGGCTCAAAGCCCAACTCAATGGCTTTTTGTAGCTCTGTAGCTATGTAGTTCCACACTTTTGCACTCGATTGTTTTGTCCGCGTCCTTTATTCTTTCTTTGCCACGTGCTCCAAGTAACATTCTTTTATTATTCACTCAAGACCAACTGAACCAAAACAACAGAAGTGCCTCAGAGTTAATTGTAACTTTTAATTATTATCAAGTTTTCCTTTTTGACCGCCTGCAGAGAAGCCTACCAGAAATCAAGAGTGCCCAAGACAGAAAATCTCCTGGCAAACTCCACCAGAGCTGAACCGCTGAGACACCGGCAGAATCTCTTATCTTATTATAATATAAAAATAAATGAGTAGATCACATTAGCCTTTAAGCTATATCTACCTGTCTATGTCTGTGTTCTGTCAGATCCGGTCTCTAATATATATTATATTTTATGCCTCAGCTGAGCAGGAAACCTGAATGGAGCTGTAACTGTTCTCAGCTCCACTGTGGCAGAGTGTCTGCTGGGAACACATGTGTTACTGAGAGTGAAGCAGCGGTCTATAGTCATGTCATGAAAACAAATCAAAGGCTGCGTTGTGGTTCAGTCTTACATGGACGGGTGCAGTTGTGTGCTCGGGCGTCCCCTGTGAATCCAGGAGCACAGAGCTGGCACTGGGAGCCGGTGGTGTTGTTGGTGCAGCGGAGGCAGCGGCCAGTGTCGGGGTGACAAAGCTGGGCAGGGCCCTGGGGGTCTGCATTCCCGCTGCAGTCACAGGGAACACAGGCCCCAGAGGTTTCGTAGAAGCCGGCAGTGCACCTATCACATCGTGGGCCGCTGTACTGGGGAAGGCACCTGTCACACACTGGGGGGCCACTGGGATCTGCACAGGAACAGACAGAAAGACAGCTCAGCTTCTCACCTGTGCTGCAGGTACAGAAGGTAAAACATAGATCTGTGTACAGTTGTGTCTGCTGTTGATAATGTGATGGTGTTTATATGAATGTTTCTCTCTCCACAATGAAGCCTCTTGACTCTGTGTCACAGGTGACACTTTTTTCACTCATCATCACATCCTATATAAAAGGTGGGGGGTCCTTCACAAACTGAAGGAGCAGCTCTGTATGTTGTTTATACAAAGACACTGCTATAAAAACTGTCCAGTTCTCCCTGTTCACATTTAAACACGTCAGGTCAGCTGGTAACTTTAGCTGGTCCTCTGGTTCACACTGAACTCTGACATACCACACTGCAGACAGAGGGGATGAGCTCCAATAATATGAAGTTACACTGAACACTTTATCTTATTTTTAATTCTTATGTTTTTTTTGGGGGCATTTACAGTGAGAGATAGACAGGAAATCCAGGGAGGTGGAGAGAGGGGATGACATGCAGAAAATACAGCTTTAATGGTATGCGCTCTTACCAGGTGAGCCACCGAGGCGCCCCATACACTGAACATTTTAAAAGACTGTACTCATGTATCTACAATCACACATTTTAAAAACAGCCTGTGCCTGGGCTTTTTTAAAATTTTAAATGTAAAATGTCTGTCTGTGAATTATCTGTGTCCATTTTAATTCCTGTAAATTTATGTGTCAGGTGATGTATAAACTGTATATGTTTATTTTTGTACACAGGTCTAATCTCAATGACACTCTACCTGTTTACATAAATGATTTAATAATAACAGGCACATATGAAACCATAGGCCTTTTACCTCAGGACACCACCCTGACCTGGAGCTCCGTTTTACTGATTCAGTATTTTAATGTGTTTGCTATTTTGTAAAAGATACTTATAATGTTCTATGATGCCATTAAGTTTGTGTTTTAGAGGAAACCACATGATCAGCTACAACACCAGGTGGTTTACAATCACAGTGTATTGATCAGAGAGAGAAAGGGGGGCAGTGTACAGTGCACAGAAGTGGCCATCGCCCCACTGAGACGCCAGGGCATCCGCTTAGCAACGTATCTGGACGACTGGCTCCTGTTGGCACAATCGGAGCAGGAGGCCAGAGCGCACACGCGCATGCCCAGATTATAATTGGGGCACCCTGGGCACCTGAACTCTGAAGGCGCTGCGCGGGAGGTCAGCAGCAGAGTGGGAGGTCAGCAGCAAAATGGATAAGAAAAAGCCTTTGAGCGGTGGAGCTAAAAGAAAGAAAAAAGAAGAATAGCAAGAGAGAGAAGCAGCGGTGATAAAAGATGTCCCGCGTATAACAAACTTCTACAAAAAATCTAAACTGATGAATGTAGAAGACATAGCTCCGGAAGATCCCGGTGCTAGCACCAGCAGTGGAGCAGTGGAGCATTGGACCCCGTGCCACTGCCCGTGCCCCATGCTGTATCGGCCAACATCAGCGAGGCGGTCCCGGAGCAGCCGGAGGACTGCGAACCAGTCCCTCACCTTAGTACCAGTACCAGCACCACGGTGACGGGAGCAGGTGAGCCACCCGAGGACCGCGCTTTATGGGGTGCTTTAACTGAAAGCCTTCGTGGGGATATTATAGCGAAAGGGGCTTCGGCTTTCCACAATCGGGCCAAAAAGTACCCTGTGTCATGCAGGAGAGAGCCGGGAACGGGAAAAACTCGCTCCCTCACAAATGACCTGCTCTCCACAACACTTCAAAATGGGGAAATTATTAAACGTGATTGGATAATATATTCCCCCTCCACTGGAGAAATATACTGTTTTGCATGCAAAATGTTTTCATCACATAACTCATTTGTTTCGGGATTTTGTGACTGGAAACATAGTGGAGACAGAGTCAGGGAACATGAGAGAGGTGCTGAACACAGAAGGTGCATGCTCGTTCTTATGCGTCATACTGAGAAGGAGGGAACCGTGGATGCTTCTCTGGCAAAACAAATGGAAGCAGAAGGCCAGTATTGGAAACAAGTGTTAAGGCGAATTGTTGCAGTGATCAAATTCCTGGGTGAAAGGGGCCTTCCTTTCCGCGGAGATGATGAATTTTTACAGTCTCCACACAATGGGAATTACCTCGGTATTTTAGAGCTGATCACACAGTTTGATCCATTTTTGAAGGAGCATATTGAGACCTACGGTGCGAAGGGTCATGGAACCACATTCTACTTGTCCTCAACCATATGCGAGGAATTCATTGGCCTGATGGGAGACAAAACAAAGCAAACAATCGCAACAGAACTACAGCAGGCGAAATATTTCTCCATAATAGTAGACTCTACACCTGACATGTCTCATGTGGACCAACTGACATTTGTGTTTCGGTTTGTGAGCGAGAAGGGCAGAGTTGTTGAGCGCTTTATTACATTTGAACCCATTCATAGTCACACTGGGTCAAGTCTGGCGGAGTGTGTACAGAAGATGGTCAGTGATTTGGGGCTGGATCTCTCTGATTGTCGCGGACAAGCATATGACAATGCTTCGAACATGTCGAGGAAATATAATGGGTTGCAAGCCCATCTCAAAAGACAAAACCTGCTCATCCATTACGTCCCATGTGCCGCACATTCCTTAAATTTGGTTGGTGTGAATTGTGTGGAAAATAGCTGTCAGGAAGCAAGCCAGTTTTTTGATTTACTGCAAGCACTGTATGCTTTCTGTTCATCGTCCACCCACCGATGGAATAAAATATTTAATGAGGACGTCACAAAAAAGCTAAAACCCCTCTCCAGCACAAGATGGAGTTGTCGGGCGGACACAACAAGAGCCCTCTGTGAAAACTATCCTGTAATCAGACAGGCTTTGCAGATGATGGCATCTGACAGCCAGGAGCGACAGGACACACGGCACGAGGCCGCTGCGCTGAGCAACAAACTTGGAAAGCTGGAGACCGCACTCATGATCGTAATTTGGAACACTGTGCTGCACAGATTCAAACTTACAAGTGACAGCTTGCAGAACATTGATCTAAAGACCGCTGTGCGCCTTGCATCACTGCGAGGGCAGTTCACCAACTTTGAGACCCGGGCCCGGGCTGTCACTGGTGTGACACAGACCTACCACTCGGAGACTCACCGGGTGAGCAAAAGGAAAGCCCATCATGATGAGACAGTTGAAAACGAAGTCGTTCTCAGTGGGAGTAAAAAGTTTGAAGTTGAGACTTACAACACAATCATCGACAGTTTGCTTTCAGGATTAACAAAGCAGCTGGAGGCCTACGCAGAGTTAAACAGTCGTTTTAGTGTCCTCTTTGATATCGAGTGTGATGAAACCGAGCTCCGGACATGGGCCAGTGTGCTCTCACAATCGTATCCTGCCGACCTTGATGAGACTGATTTTGCTGATGAGCTTCTCCAGTTCCGATCTTATGTGAGCACCGATTTAGAAACATGCACAAGTCCAGCAAACTTATTGCAAGTTGTCCTGAAGAGTGGACTACAGACAACTTTTCCCAACGTTTATGTGGCTCTCCGTCTTTTTCTCACCATACCTGTATCAAACTGTGAGGGAGAAAGGACATTTTCACGATTGAAACGATTAAAAACGAACTGAGGACATCTATGACCCAAAAGAGACTGTCAGCACTCTCCCTGATGGCCATTGAAAGTGACCTGGTGAAGGAGCTGGATTTTGAAGACCTGGTGGCAGACTTTGCAAAGGCCAAGTCCAGGAAGAAAATCTTCTAAAGGTAAGAACATTTGGTTATGCTGCTTGTGTATGCTGACACACACACACACACACACACACACACACACACACACACACACACACATACACACACATACAAGTGTGCGCTCTGCAAGCAGCTTTATTCCTTTTCAGTTCACAGAATTGTTTTGTAAAGTTGTAAAGACTGATCTTTATACATTTTTTTGTTGAGTAAAAATGTACTTTGAATTATGGAACTTATTAGAATAGTTTCTTGTCAATAAATATGTTTGTTTTGACTTTTAAACTTCTGTAGGCTGCATATATAAAGAAGTCTGAGGTTGGGATTTTTCGGGTAAGCGGAGAGAGAAACAATTACGCACAGCAGAAGTTTAGAAGTCAAAACAAACATATTTATTGACAAGAAACGATTCTAATCAGTTCCATAATTCAAAGTACATTTTTTATGGGGAATTGCCAGTAATCAGAGAAGGAGGAATGAGCTGGTCTACTCAGTGTGTGTGTATATGTTGTAGTTTGTTTGTCAAGTTCATAAGTTGGCTTTAATTTTGAAAATCTGCATTTAGCTGTGCTGTGTGGCTATTAGGATGGCATTCTTGTAAACTATCTGGTGGTTATTATGTAGATGTTGTGGGTTGTGTTGTGTTTATTTGATCTGCTGTTTGTGTCAGCCTTTTGTCTTTTGTCAAGGCTGTGTGTGTGTGTGTGTCTGAGAGAGAGAGTAGTAGGCCCTACTACTTGGTCTATTGAACTGTACGCATACCTATTTAGCTGTACTGGTCAGTTGTCAGCCTTTGACATATGGTTTGTGATTATGGTCTGGTGGATTTGACATGGCACTTGACTAGACATGCAAAATTATGAATTGACACGGCTCAAGGCCAGACCATCAGTAAGAGCTGCATTCTTAGAATCTCATAAACCAGGCTACACCTACAGTGCCTGTCAGTGACAAAAACACTATCACAACAAGCTGAAACAATCAGCCAACTAAATTAATCATCAGACTTTAATTATTTTGATCCCAGTTTTCTCTATTTTATATCATTGTAAACTGGAGCGCTACTTCAGCATCACAGTCACTGTTTTATCTCAAACCCAACAGAAGACATGACTGTCACTCACTGTGTGCTGATTATAAACGTAGCCAAGAAACACAAAATTAACTGATGATTTTGATAATGGATCCATCACTCATTAAACTCACAATGTTCAACTTCTGCCACAGTGTTTAACTTCTGGGTCTCTCTATCGAAAGAATAACAAAATACAGTGTTGGTAATG